CAGTCACCACCCTCTGATGGCGGTGCTCTGACTCCTACCCTCTTCTTCCTGCAGTGGCTGCTCTATGTGTCTGTGACTTGTCCCCTGCTCAGTGTGATGTCAACTGCTGTTGTGACCCTGACTGCAGCTCTGAGGACTTCAGTGTCTTCTCTGCCTGCTCAATTCCAGTTGTGACGTAAGTATATGACGTGAAATTTTGATAAAAATCTGACTGACCAGGCCAATAAAACCTGGGTACAGAAAATTCAGAACCCCAGGTTGAAAAATTCAAGCCTAATTTTCCATATTTTGCATGTATTGGAAGCCATCCTGAATGGAACAACATGCAAAGCAGTGGTTGGCCCTTATTTGCATTCAGTAGCTCGGGCAAAAGAGTGTAATGCTTATTATTATTATTTTTTTAAATTTATGTATTTGGGGGCTGGTGAGATGGTTCAGTGGTCTAAAGCACCTACTTAGAACAAGTTTAACAAAGCACAGGGACTGCGGTTCAATCCCCCAGCACCACATGCCAGCCAGCCCCGCCCCCTGGTGGGCTGAGCTGGCCACACACACACAAATAAATAAAATTTAAAAAAATAAATAAATAAATAAATAAATTTATGTATTTGGTTCAGGGTCTCACTATGCAGCTCAGACTCATAGTGATCCTCCTGTTTTCAGCCTCCCCAGTGCTGGGATTACAAGTGTGCTTCCCTATGCCTGGTCTCAGTGGCTGGCTCAGTGTGCCCGGGGGTGGGGCCGGCATGGCATGCACTACTAGGGGATAGAGCCCGGTCCCCGCGCTTGCGCTGCCTGCGCAGGCGTTTTGTCCACTGAGCTATCTCATGCCCTAAAAGTGTGACACTGAGTAGGATGAGATGTTTCCACCGGAGTGGTGACCAGTTCTGTGTCTGTCATACATTTTGTATCAGGGAATTAGTCTCACGTGGAGGTGAAGAGTGCAGCTTAATTTCACGGCTCTTGTGGACATAGCACTTGCAGCAAACCGCTGAGTAGATGGAATGCTTTGTCTGCGCTCTTCGATGGTCAAGTCGCTCACACATAACACAGATGCCTTACACGGTAAAGATATTCTGCTCTGAATATTGGTTCTCAGATTGCAGAGCATTTTGAAAGAAATTAGCAATTCAAACAGGTTCCTTTATTCAGGATTGGACCAACTTACTGTTCAAAGAAAGTGAATGTAAATTTAGCCTTGTAGTACTTTTTTTTTTTTTTGTGGAACCAGGGATTGAACTCAGACCCTTGTGCTTGCCAGGGAAGTGCTTATTTCTACTGAGCCATTTCCCCAGCCCCAGCCTTGTAGTACATTTTAATAACTGACACCTGGCAGGTTGAATCTTTTTTGGAAGTATGTGAGTCCTTCCCATGAGAACTGATTTTATTGGCCCAATAGGAAATTGAATCTATTTCTAATGTTGTCAGGAAAAAAAAAAAAAAAAAACGCCTGCAGAATGGGGCGATGTAATCAGATTAATTTTCTGACCACAGTATGGTTCAGTCTTGAAAATGAGTCTGCTCTGCTGCCTAGATAAGTACAGGAGCTAAGAGTAAAACTTCTACCTTTTTTTTTTGTATTTTAGGGAAGGGTCTACAGGGTGTTCAGGGTCTCACTACTAGATCAGACTTGTAGTGATCCACCTGTTTATGGCCTCCCAAGACCTGGGATTACAGGTGGGCGCCACCACACCCACTCTCAGTTGCTGTCTCAGCGTGCCCCAGGGGCAGGACAAGACTTTACTTTAACCTGGGACCATTTTTTAGAATGTTACTTTTCTTTCTTTTAATGTAATACTTCTATTGATTTATTTATTTTCAGTACCAGGGATTGAATTTGGGACCTTGTGCTTGCTAGGCAGGTTCTTATGTCACTGAGCCATCTCCCCAGCCCCGTCACTTATAGTCTGCATGATATGGGCTCCAGCACACTTTTTCTGTAGGGGGCCAGATCATAAATATTTTAATCTTCACAGGTCAGTGGCTCTTTGTTTCATTTTCTTAGCTTTACCTTGGCTGAGCAAAAGCGCTATAGACCTGGCAGTGAAGGGGCGTGTCTGTTCCACTGTCACTATAAACACAGGCCAGTTTGCAGACCCTTAGGATAGAAAACAGTGCTGAATCCATAGTGCCCTCAGGGAAGGGCCTCTACATTTTTCCAAGTTAGTTTTGTTTGTGACTTTCTCCTAAATGTGAAGTATAGAAATAACTATATCAAAAAGTCATAATCTTAATTGAGGATTCTCATATAAATTGTAGTTCATGAGTGATTGACTTGCATTTATTAAACTATCAACAACTTTTCCCATTAGATAGCAGTGTCACAAGAAAAGAACCCAAGAAAAATGTGTCCTTCACATATCTGTAAAGCCTAGAACAGCCCTTGCCATTCAGTTGGACCTCATTAAAAATGAGTGGTGGGGAGCCAGCAAGACAGTTCAATAGACTAAAGCGCCTGCCTAGGCAAGCTTAGGCAAGTGCAGGGACTGCGATTGATCCCTGCACCATGTGCTGTGCCAGCCCCGCCCCCAGGATGGGCTGAGCCAGTCAAAGTCTGGTGTGGTGGTACATGCCTGTAATCCTAGCGCTGGGGGGACTGAAAGCAGGAGGATCACCACAAGTCTAAGCTGCACAGTGAGACTCTGCCACAACCAAACACATTAAAAAAAAAAAAAGAGTGATGGGGTAGAACTCAATGGTGGGAGGCTTGCTTGGCATGACTTCTAACTTCAGCACTGCAAAAAACAAAAAAGAGTTGACTAGATGAAGGGACTGTTCCCCTTCACCCCGCAATGATTCTTAAATCCCCTCTGACTACCTTTACAGTCAGGGTTTCAGATGGACACCAGCTGGAGGCTCCCGGCTGGCTCTGTGAACCTTTTCTCTGTGCATTAAAGTGGGGTTCACTTGTCACCCTGCCTTTCTTGAGGACCTCCTGCTGCCAGCACCAAGGATCTAGAGATAAGTTGGGCAGATCCCACCATCAAAGCGCTTATGGTTGATTAAGGAAGATGGATGAATGTGTGGCAGTTTCTGCTCTGAGCCCTAAGAGAGCTCAGAGGAATGACATCTAACTTGGCCAGCCAGGCTAGGGAAGACTTTCTAGAAAAGACAACCTCAGCTGTCCCATGTCCTGAAGGACAAGTAGAAGACAGCCATCGTGGAGTTGGGGGACAGGCATTCCAGGCCAAATGAACCCCTTGGCCAGAGTCCTGGGATGAAGGAGGGTGCAGATAGCTTTGTGTGACTGAGAAGGGCAGGGTGCAAGGGGTGTGTGGAGGAGAGAGCAGGGTATGTGCGTGTGTGTGTGTGTGTGTGTGTGTGTGTGTGTGTGTGTGTGTGATGTGTTGTTTAGATTTTATCCTGTGGTCCTATCTTAGGTAGTTCAGCAGCAGCACACATAGTGGATCACAGAAACCAAGCCTGGTAGCAGAGAACCAGGTAAAGTGCTGTGGCAGATGAGGACAGGTGGTTCTTGCCTCTTCCCTACCCTCCTTCCCCCAGGCTGTTACCATGGATGGGAAAGAAGTACTGGATGGGATCCCAAGAGACTGCCCAGACCTGGAGGACCAGCCAAGTGCAGCTAAATCAGGAGCCCCATTCTTTTGAGTCTTCCTGCCCTAGAAGCCTCATGTCCATTCCTGCTGCTGCTGTCCATTCCTGCTGCTGCTGCTGCTGCTGCTGCTGCTGCTGCTGCTGCTGTTCCTTCTCCTTCTCCCTCTCCTTCTCCTTCTCCTCCTTCTCCTTCTCCTTCTTCTTCTTCTCCTTCTTTTTTTTAGTACAGGGTCTACAGGGTCTTGCTACACAGATCAGACTCTTAGTGAGTCTCCTGTTTTCAGCCTCCCAAGTGCTGGGATTAAAGGCCTGTGCCACCACGCCCAGTCTCATTCACGTCTCAGCACACCCTGGGCAGGGTCAGCACTGCAAGCCAGGGATTGAACTCTGGGTCCCTGTGCCTTTCTGCTTCTCAAGCTTATACTTCAGCTTGTCATGCACCTTGCTAAAAACCCTTCAAAAGGTCTCATAAAGTAACCAGGTGTGGTGGTACATGTCTGTAAGCCCAGCATGCAAGAGGCTGACATAGGAGGATTGCCCTAAGTTTGAGGCCAGCCTGAACTACATAGGGAGACCCTGTCTCAAAAAAATCAAGCCAAAACAAAACAAAACCCTCATTATGTATATATCCTCTAGTTCAGAAGGAGATCTTATTTCCTACTCACTCCTGTCTCAAACCCTCCACTCCAGTCCAACCAGTGAAAACCTAGTGATAATATCTAGTCTTGGGAAGAGGACGAGGAAATGGGCACTCCTACTGCAGTGTTTGTATATTGATGCTTTTTGGAGGGCGATTTGGCCATGTTGCAGAAGCCTTAAATAATGTGCCGTTTGACTCACCAATTCCACTTCTGAGAACGTGTCCTAAGGATGACATAATAGCTTTCTGTATAATTGGGGAAAATTAGAAACAGCCTACACCAGCAGTAGAGGATTGGTATACCAAATTGTGGTGTATTCAGAATCTGGTATGTGAGAAAGCCTTATTGATTGACTGGTTGGTTGATTGATAGGAGTGGGAATTGGACCCATAGCCTTCACACTGAGCTGTATCCTTAGCCTTTTTTTCATTTTTTTTGTTTTGGGACAAGTTTTTATTAAATTGTGCTGGGCCTGTATTTGTGATCCTCCTACCTCAGCCTCCCAGAGTGTTGGGATTACAGGTCTGTTCTACCACAAGGATGAAGCCATTTAAATATACTGTTGCAAAAGCGTATTTGATGACATGACATGGGAAATACTAGATATTATATATTAATTGAGTAAGACTTTGAAGTAATATATAGAGTGCAGTACCATTTTTGTCATAACTTTATCCTTTTACCCTACCTATTTATGCTTCAAATTGATTACGATTTGTTAATCTGGGATTGATAGAAGACTTAACTACCATAGTTTCTAAGCTATAAATCATCTTATAAAAGGTGATTTCACATTTTCTTGTTTTCACAATCTTTACAAGCTTTATCTTTTTTTTTTTTTTTTTTTGGCGGAACCGGGGATTGAACTCAGGCCCTTGTGCTTGCCAAGGAAACACTTATTCCACTGAGCCATCTCCCTGGCCCTGACAAGCTTTATCTTAAAGACAAAAATTTTATTTATTTATTTATTTATTTGTTTATTTATTTATTTATTTGTCTTTTTGAGACAGGGTCTCACTGTGCAGTTCAGGATGGCCTTGAGATCACTTTGTAGCCCAGGCTGGCCTTGAACTCACAACAGTTCTCCTTCCTCAGCCTTCTGAGTGCTGGGATTACAGGTGTGCACCATCACACTCAGCTTTTTTTTTTTTTTAATGTGTTTAGTACAGGGCCTACAGACGGGGTCTCACTACAGAGATTGGACTCATAGTGATTCTCCTGTTTTCAGCCTCCCAAGCCCTGCGATAACAGGCATGCGCCACCATGCCCAGTCTCAATCACGTTTTAGCATGCCCCAGGGGCACAGCATGGCATGCTGGAGATAAAACCCCTGTCCCTGTGTCTACCTAGGCAGGTGCTTTAATCTGCTGAGCTATCTGGCTGGCCCAACCTTTTGTTTTTAAAAAGACAAGAAATCTTGGGTCTATTCTGGGTACTTATGAACAATCTAAAGTTCCATACAATTTTATGTAATTGATGTTTTCAGAGTTTACAAGGTTCATTTTTATCAAAATTATACCCTGATTCATATTCTATGTTTGAGAAGATTTTCTGAGAGGTTAATATACTTAACTTTTTTCTCTAATGGAAAACTTTTCAAATGCCAAGCATTTTAACTCTGAATAAACTAAGTAACAATGGATTCTATTTTAACATCATGCTTTCAGAACTATCTTCCATGTATAAGCATCTGACAATTTTAAAGTAATCTTGCTAAAACTGTGTGGTTATGCCTTCAAACTCTCTGCTATTATTTTAATTTCCAGGGGCGATAGCCACTTCTGTAGTCAGAAAGCAGCCACCTACTCACTGAATTTTACAGCAAACCCACCTCAAAGGGTATTTAAACTTGTTGACCAGATCAATCCATCTATTTTCTGCATTCAGACTACAAACTGTAAGTATCTGATGTTGATATATTTTGTGAAACTTTGGGAAAATTTTCTTTAAAATATATGGAAAAGGGCCAGGGAGATGGCTCAGTGGAATAAGCGCTTCCCTGGCAAGCACAAGGGCCTGAGTTCCATCCCCGGTTCCACACACACACACACACACACACACACACACAATAATAAAAAATAAAAATAAATAAATAAAACATATGGAAAAATTCCTTATTCAGTTAAATTTAAAAAAAAAACCCTCATTCTAGAAAAATGCCTTATTCAGTTAAATTTTTAAAAAAAAACCCTCATTCTATGTTTTTGCTGTACATGTGTAGTGAGTCTCTCCTGGGACCATTTTACAGGTAACTGAAAATAATTTTACAGAGCTGGGCCATATACAGTTTCTTTAAATGTAATTGTTTATTGTGTTTTTGAGGTTTTTTCTTTTTTGTTTGTTTTTGTTTTTCGTCTTTTTGAGAGAGGGTCTCCCTGTGTAGTTCAGGATGGCCCTGAACTCACTTTATAGTCCAGGCTGGCCTCAAACTCACAAGTATCCTCTTGCCTGAACCTTCTGAGTGCTGGAATTACAGGTGTGCACCACTACACTCGGCTCTTTAAAAGTAACTGTGCTATGTACTTGCCTTTGATTTCTTATATTTGGTTTTATAGGTACCTGTACTATGTAGACATACACAGGAGCCCAGATTTTTACCTATTTATCTATCTGTGTGGTTTTTTTTACTTTATTTCCTCTGGCATAATGGTTGAAAATCAGGTTCAGCTTTGAACACTACCTGTGGTTTCTATTTCCTTTTTCTTTTTTATTTTTACTAAGAATTTTGCATGAAAACCGGATCTTTATTTTTATCTGAGCATTAACTCAAGTCAGTGTCTCAATCCAAAGTATGCGTGAGGGTAAAATGTTCGCAGGATGGCGAATCAGCGATACAGTTATTGTTTTATGTGTTCAACTTCAGCATCTCTTTGGAATGTCTTTATGTATGTCTTTATATATTTTGGTTTTGTGTTCTTGTGATTGAAAACTGAGATGAGTGTGCTGTGGTTTGTTACCTCAAGTGACAGCTGAGCTGTGACTGTCACATTCAGCCCCATGAAACATGGCCTTAATGTTCACGTTTCTAAGTTGTGAAAGATAAATGGGACTTAATTCTGTTGTAAGCTTACATTTTGCCTCTACAGAATTCTCTGCTCCCCCACAGGGCCCCTTCCGCCCTCTGTACACAGCACGTTTTCCTCTGCGATCCCGGGGCAGGGGAATTAGTAGATTCCCTGTGGCTTCTATGCTGTTTCCCTGTGGGCAGGGCAGCCATTCCTCTCCCACTGAGAAGCAGGCCTGGCCTAGAGCCTCTTTATTTAACAAGCCTGAAGAAGTGCTGTGGAGAAGTGGACGTGTGGAGAGACTATGTTTTTTCATATCAGCCTTAATGCTAATAGCTGTTTCAAAAATATTACAGATGTTATATGTAGTACATGTTTTGTGCTGATTTAAAATACTTTTTCTGAAAACAGATAAACCTGCATTGTCCTTTATCAATCCAGAAGTGCCCGATGAGAACAGTTTTGATAGGTGGATGAAGACATCTGAAGGTTTTACATCAAATGCAGAAGCAGATGTTTCTTTTACAACCAAATCAAGTGCTTTAAATACTACTAAGTATGAGGTAAGCTGAGAATATAAGTCTATTCAGGCGTCCTAATACCCTGTCCTGGGAGTTAACTTTCAGTATGGCACTAGCAAAGCTGTCTTTCCCAAGACCCTGAATTGATGTCACAGACTACAAACCTTAATGTCCATATTTCTTGTTTTGTTTTGTATTCTGAGGCAGGGTCTGGCTATGTAGTTCAGGCTGGCCTTGGATTCTTTTTTTTTTTTTTTTTTAAGATTTTTAAAAAAGAGTTATTTATTTTATTTATTTATTTTTGTGTGTGTGTGTGTGTGGCCAGCTCAGGTGGGCTGGCATGTGGTGCTGGGGGATTGAACCGCGGTCCCTGTGCTAAGCTTGTTCTAAGTAGGTGCTTTAGACCACTGAGCCATCTCACCAGCCCTGGCCTTGAATTCTCAACAATCCTCCTACCTCTGCCTCTCAAGTGCTGGCATTACAGGTGTGCACTACCATGCCTGGCCTTAATGTTCATGCTTCTAATTTGTGAAAGTTGCATAGGACTTATTCTGTAAGCTCACATTTGCTTCTGTGGAATTCTTTGTTCTCAGCCATAAGAGATGCGACAAAATGCTTGAGGCCTGCTGTTAGGAACATTAATTTTTTTTTTTTTTTTTTTTTTTTTAGTACAAGGTCTTGCTATGCAACTCAAACTTGTAGTGATCCTCCTGTCTCAGCCTCCCCAGTACTGGGATTACAGGAATGTACCACCACGCCTGGTTTCGGTGGCCGCCATGGCATGCGATACTGGGAATCAAATCTGGGTCCTTGTGCTTGCCAGGCAGGTGCTTAGACCGTGGAGCTGTCTTGCCGGTGCTGTGCACTATTTCTTAGAGCAGATGTTTGGAGGCCCCTGAAGCCTGGCAGGCGCAAGGTCCTGAGTTCAATCCCTGGTACCGAAAAAAGAAAAAAAAAGAATAGTATAAAGTAACATATCCCTACAGGTCCCTGAGAAAAAATTGAAAGGTCCCTGGTCTTCAGTAAGATTCAGCCTGCAGAGGCTGGGATGTGGCTCAGTAATGAACACCAGCTTGTGCTTAGTGTGCATGAGGCTCTGGTTTCACAACCACACACAAAAATTTTGTTTTATTTTTATTTTTTATGAATTTAGGGCAGACCCTAATCAGGGTCTCACTATGTAGATTGGACTCTCAATTCTCTTGTTTTCAGCTTCCCAAGTGCTGGGATTACAGGCGCACACTACCATGCCCAGTGTCAGTTGCCCTCTCAGCGCACCCCGGGGGTGGGGCCAGCACGGCACACCGGGGATCGAACCCTGGCTGCTGCACTCTACCGAAGCAGGCGCTTTAGTCTGCTGAGCTATCTGGCCGGCCCCAAAAATTTTAAATAAAATAATAATTTAAAAATCATCCTGCAGATTACTGTGTGAATACTATTGTGTATTCTCCCAGATTTTTATGTGCGTCTATGAAATGTACATATAATATATAGCAATTGGATTTATAGTTACCTACATTTTTCTAGAAAATTATTTTTTCAGTACTAAGTTTGTACCTCTTCCCTGTAACTACAAAACCTGTTTTTTCTTTTTTCTTTTTTATGTGTTTAGTACAGGGTCTACAGGATTTCACTACACAGATTAGACTGGTAGTGATCCTGCTGTTTTCAGCCTCTCAAGCGCTAGGATTACAGGTGTAAGCCACCACACCCAGTTTTAATTGCTGTCTCAGCGTGCCCAGGGGCGGGGTTGGCATGGCAGGCCTGGCGATCGAACGTCTGCCCCTGCATCTGCCTAAGCAGGTGCTTTAATCTGCTGAGCTATCTGGCCAGCCCTTCTTTTTAAAAAATTGTTTAAAATATCTTTTATTTATTTATTTGATACAGGGTCTTGCTACACAGCTTAGACTCCTAGTGATCCTTTTGTTTTAGTCTCCCTAGCGCTGTTATTGCAGGTGTGTGCTATTGTGCCTGGTTTTGGTGGCCAGCAAGGCATGCGCAGGATTCCAGGGCTGGCATGGCATGCGGACCCAGGGGTTGGACCTGGATCCTTGTGCTCTCCAGGCAGGAGCTTAGACCACTGAGCTATCTCCTCAGCCCAACACCAGGTGTTTCATGAGCATTTTCCATGTGCCAGGCGCAGGTAGAGCTTTTCAGATGTTACTCATACAGCCCAGGGGTGGCATACCATCGTCTCCTGGTGTGTGCACACACAAGCACAGGTGACTGCCTGAGCAGAAAAAGTGTAGGCATTGGAAAGTGACTCTTCAGACGAGCGCTAGAGCTGTATGCATGAAGAATTCCCTTGGTGTATTTCAGCCACTCCCTTCTTCCAGACCTGGGGATTGAACCCAGGGCCTCACGCATGCGAAGCGAGTGCAGTGCCACCATTTCTGGCTCAAGCTGTCCTAAGCCTAGCAGACATTTGTTTCTAGTTTTTGCTGTTAGAAATAACAAGAATTCATATATATATATATATATATATATATATATATATATATATATATATATATATATATATATATATATCTTCATGCAGTTATCTGATCAAATCTGTAGGCTATCTTTCGAGAGATAGTATGGCTTGGCCACGGTGGGTGGGAATTTTAAACACCAACAAGCACATTGCTATTCAGAAAGACTGCAGGGGCTTATGCCTCCAGTCCAGTCAATGGGGAGACTGATTTCCCATAACTTTACTAGCACCGAGGCATTTGGGTAAACCTTCAAATTCACAAAAATTATCTGTATGGCCAATAGCTATCCATTTGGGATTTGAAAATCATAGAATTATTTCATGGGAGAGGTTTGTTGGGGAAAGAAGGCATTTTTTTTTTCATAAAATACTGATTCATAAAAGTTGTGTAATTTTAACGCATCCCATAGCTGCTATTGAGACACAGCTGCCCGAGCCCCGTGCCAGCCCTGCCACCCATCTGCCGAGGCACACACTTAGTGTCTTGTGGACCCTGCCAGATACAGCAGTGCATGCACACGCACAGGTGGCTGCCAGGTACCAGCTCCATGCAGGCAAGGCCGTGCCTGGCTTTTGCACACCACTGTGACCCCGACACAGTGCCGCATGGCCCTCGCTCGGCGCCCTAGCAGCGTTGGATGGCTGCTCACTGCGCCGCTTGCTGTGTTTGCAGTATGGGGCTCCTGTGCAGACTTCCGATGCATCTCCACATCCGTTCCTGAGATTCCCTTCGCCTCTCATGTCGGCTCTGTGCACTGATAACAACCCTGCCGGTAAGAGGGTGGCGGATGTTCTTTCTCTGTAAGTGTTGGACCACTTACCTCTGTATATATGCTGCCGAAGTGAGCACAACCAGTTACATCTGTGGCAGTCATGATTAAGCAGGTACACAATCAGAAACAGAATCTTAGGCTTGCACGAGACCACAAACGTTTTGGAGTTCAGTACCTCATTTGGTGCAGGAAGCTTTCTGGCCACAGCCAGTCACTGAGGACTGGTAGTGATGTGCAGCTCATTACCTGAAAACAGCCCCCTCAGCTGGTAAAAGTTTTCTTTTTTGTTGTGCACTTACTACGCCCAGCTGGTTGTGTTAGGCGATGCCTGTGATTTTCCCATCAGTCTTCGCAGTGATCCTTGGAGGTAAGGTTGGAATCTCCACCTCTTCTGCAGGAAGTGGAGAGGCAGGGCCTTTCATGCCGGGCTCACTTGTGGGTGGAGTAGGGGCAGAACCATGCCGTCAGCCTGTGGCATCGCTCTGCTGCACTCCCTGGACTCCTGTAGGCCCTGCTGCTCCTCAAGGGAGTGACAGGAAGCCCCACCATGAGGTGGCTAAGCAGTGGACAATAGCAATTGCATGGTGGCCCAAGCCTGTCATCCCAGCACTCGGGAGACTACGCAGTGAGTTCGAGGCAAGCCTGGATAGATAATGAGACCCTGTCTCAATAAACCAAAATAAAACAAAAAGGGGAGGGATATACTTTGCTGAGAAGACACTTGACCTTGCATATGCTGGAAACAGGGCAAAATAAAACCAAACCAAGATATAGTTTTTACCTATTAAATTGACAATGCTCAAAAACCCCGAAGCTTTGGGAAGCAGCCACTCATCTCTGTGGTGGGTACTGTGAGCCAGTGCCCCCCCCCCCCCCGCTGCCGCCCCGTGAGGGGCGCTTGGCCTATGCTGTCCAAACTACAGATGATCCCGTCCTTCATCCAGCTGTTAGACCCCAAGGAGTTGATCCTGCTGAAACTCTGGCCCTTGCACAGGGTGATGCAGGGAGTGCTGGTCTGACAGCAGAGACAGAGAAGCCTCAGGTGTCCGCTAGGAGGAGGCCAGGGCGTTAGTGTGATGCCTCCAGTAGAGCACTGACCCGAGAAGAGAGGACAGGAAGCTCTCGAGCTGCGACGGACTGAGTGTCAAGATATGCTCATTGTTCAGTGGAAAAACAAGGGGCAGATTAGTATATCTAGCACGCATTTGTTTCCAAGAGTGGAAAAAGTAATTTAGAAGTGGTTTTACACACAGATTTCCATTTATTTGCATAGTCTATTTCCAGAAAGAGGCATCAGAAACTTCCTGCCTGGTGCCTGTGAGGAAGGCAAGGCTTAGAGTTGCACGGAGACTGTCTCCGTTACTTTTCTTTCATTGCTGGGACAAAATACCCGACCCCTAAAATGAAGGAAGGAAAGGTTTATTTAGCTCACAGTTTGTGGAGGTTTCAGTCCATACGCAGCTGGCTCCAAGGCAGAGCAGCACATGGCAGAGGAAAACAGCAGGACAGCGAGAATGAAGGGAGGAGCATTGGCAGCAATGGCGACGGCGACGGAGAGCAAGTCCAGCTCCCCTGTGTTGCCTTCAGGCTGCCGCCCCAGGCTGGGTGTAGCACTCACACTCGTAATCCCAGCACTGGACCATGAATTAATCTCAGGCTCTAGAAGTCCACCCCAGTGATTATGTGAGGCCTTGTGAGGACAGGTAGACACAAACCATCTTCTTGTGTCTTTGGAGTTGTGAACCTTCTACCTGACTGAAGGCTAATTTTTAATCCCTACTTTAAGCGTATTACTCATCCATGTTACAGCTTACTTTGCAGTTCTACCTTGATGACAGTTACGACGGCCAGCTGAAACATTGCTTTGTATTTTTTCTCCTGGAAATGTTAATTGCAGCATTTCTGGTGAACCAGGCTGTGAAGTGTACCAGAAGCATAAATTTAGAGCAGTGTGAAGAAATGGAGGCCCTTAGGATGGATTATTACAGCAGCCCTATGATTCTGAGGGTAAGAATTATTTTAAAGTAGAACTGATTCATTAGGTATGTTTTTAGTTCTTTGTGCCATTTTATTTTATTTTTTTGAGACAGGGTCTCATTATACAGTTTAGGCTGTCTTTGAACTTAGTGTATAGCCTAGGCTGGTCTCAAACTGGTAGCGATCTTCCTGTCTCAGCCTCTTGAGTGCTAAAATTACAGGTGTGCACCAGTACACCCCGCTCTTTGTGCCCTTTTAAAATATGACAAGAGGGAGGGCATAGACAGCTTGGCAGTCTAAGCACCTGCCTGGCAAATGCGGGGACCCGGGTTCAATCCCCCGAACCCTTTGCTGTGCTGGCCCCAGAACCCTGGGTGCACTGTGCCTGCAAACCATGTATGGTGGCGCGTGCCTGTAATCCCAGTGCTGGGGAGACTGAGACAGGAGGATCACTAGGAGTTGAGACCCTATGTCAAATAAAGAAAGAAAGAAAGAAAGAAAGAAAGAAAGAAAGAAAGAAAGAAAGAATTAGAATCACAGCAGGCCTCTGGTGAAAATGAAAAAAAAAGGATTACTTGCAACTATACACAGAGTTGGCAAAAATTTTTTTATAATGAATAATTTCAGTGTGTGATTGAAATATCTCAAGGACTTTGGTTTCAATGATTATTGAAATAATCCTTTAAGTAATTTTTATTTTTACATAGCTCATATTTTGCTTTCATTTTTTTTCTTTCATTATGATGCTAACCAATAATGTATGTCTCCTGAATAAAACATAATTTTACCAGAAACCTAAAAACTTTAGAAATAATAATTTTGTGTGTGTGTGGAACTGGGAATTGAACTCACCCTTGGGCTTGCCAGGGAAGCTCTTATTCCACTGAGCTATCTCCTCGGCCCCCAAAAATCTTAATGTATATGATAGAAATAATTATGTAAGAACTGGAAAGAGTTCTCTGTGAGAAGCAGATCAGAAAAGAAGATAAAGTACACTGCCTGGTTGGCAAGTGAACTTGGCAGTCAGGGAAAGTTAGGAATCGGGATTCGTGGAGCAGGAGGAGGAGGTCGGGGTGAGGGAGCCCTTCTCTGCAGCTGCAGCGGAGTATGAGAGTGAGGCCCTGGCCCATGGACACTGAGAGGGAGCTTTGCAAGAAGAGATGTTTTTTCACAATTGAAACCCATGTGATTGTCGAGCCAGGCATGGTGGTGCGTGCTTGTAACCTCAGTCAGCACTCGGGAGGCAGAGGCAGGACAGTGGGAGCAAGTCCAAGACCGGCCTGAGCTCCATAGGGAGACCCTATCTCAAAAACCCCCAAAGAAAACAAGATTATTGTCCAAGTCCTCCCCAGCCCCATTTCTTTTGGGGGAGGGGTGTATGCCATCCTGGGGATCAAGTGAACCGAGGGCCTCATGCATGCTAGGCAAGCCATGTCCCCTGAGCTGGATCCCATGCATTTTTTGGGGAACAGGATCTTGCTAAATTGCCTAGGCTGGCCTCAGATTCTTGATCACCCCGAGTAGCTGGGATTTAGGTATGTGCCACTGCACCTGACTCTAATTCTCTTTTTGGGGTGTATTGAGGGGGTATGGGGGAGGCAGTCCATGGCCCCATAGTCATCTGGTGTCTGTGTTCAGAATCCAGTTAGAGCTTCTCCTCTCCCTCCCTTCCTGCTCCTCTCATTGCCTAAGTCAGCCTCTGGGCCGATGGGTTTGTCTTGTTACTTTGGCTTCTCACAGTGTCCCAGGCATCCAGGTAAGATCTTGGCACCTAGCTCCCACATGGCCCAAGGATGTCTGGGGATGAGGCTGCAAGAAATAGGTGACAAGGAGTGGAGGCAGCTTTCCTGTCAGGAGAGCTTGGCTGTATTGGGAGATAAAGCTTGAAACTGGGACCTCTCCATGGTAGGAAGACAGGCATAGCCTGCAGGAAGCTCCTGGCCAGATGCCTCAGGAATGACCAAAAGGGTGGGGACGGTGTCTTCCCTTTGCCTGAGTCCCGTGCGGCAGCAGTAGGCATGTGGGGTGTGCGCTAGCAACCCCGGGTGTGGAGGCCTCGCGGCACCAGCTGCTGTGCTGGCCTGTTGTACTTCCAGCCAGAAGGAGATGAGAAGAGAAGGAAACTGAACTGTTGTGGCCGAGACCCAGACCCAAAGGTGCAGATGTCCTGCCTCACGCTGTCCTTGTGGGATCTTTGAGAGTGAGTGTGGCCTTTGACCGAGGCCTGGAAGAGTTACGAAAGTGCATCTGTCAAATGTAACAACATTTGTCCTGGTTTCTTTTTGTCTAGGTGCCCAATTCGGTGACACAGGTAAGTATTCCTTCATGGAAAGGAAGTTTATAATTCTTACCTGCATATCAGTTGTTTTAGTGGGTGTGTTGGTGCTGGGTTGGAGCCAGGGCCTCTGTATGCCAGCCGAGCTCCAGCCGGCCTGGCCCTGGCATTTTGTGCATGTCACTGCATGTGTTTTGCCCCGCTTCCCTCACTGTGCATCAGGTGGGCCTGTCTCAAGCTTTTTGTGACTTGATCGCTGTCGCCTCTGTTGTAGTGTGGAGTCTTTAACCTCCAGGTCTTGTTCTTGTCATAGGTCCCGATCACTGTCCAGTCCATCACCGTTCAATCACTAAATAAAACACTGACCCGCCTGGAGGACACTGGTGTACGGCTGCCCTCTCTCCTCAGTTCCGGGCATGATAAAATCTGCATTAACGTTGTGCTTGAAGTAGGTGCCCAGTTTGGCCTTTTAAGCTCTGTCTGTGGAGGACTCTAGCCGCCGGCTTTATGGGATGACAGGACGCCCTCCAAAGGGGGCCTGGCCCACCCTGTGGCAGCGCTGCTCTTGGCCTGGCCTTCTGCTTGCTTTGTGCCATCTCTTGAGGATGCCTCTTTATTGTCACACAAACCTAGCGACTTGCCATCACCAGCATTGTATTTATTGGGGCTCATTTCCTCTGCAGAGCTAGGCTAATCACTTTTATTTGGACCAACTGATGTGGCACATGTTAGGCCCCCAGAAGCCCGGATGACCCCATCCACTGGGTAATGCTGAGGGAACGCTGCTCAGATCTGCCCCGACACCAGGGCGAACCCACCGGGACTGGGGGAGGACTTGGCACTTCTGGCTCTCGTTACTAGTCTGGCCGCTGAAGTGTCAAGGGAGCCTGGGCCTTGTGAGCTGTGTTCTGTTCCAGGTAAAGTACAGCCTCACATACACGGATGCAGGGGAGGTTGCCGCGGCGGGCCTCTCACTGCTGCTGGGGGCCGTTAGCCGTGCCACGATCCCCCTGCAGCAGAAGTTTGAAATTAGCTTCGTTCAGGTAAGTTGGAGCCATTTTGTCTGAGTTTTAACTGCGAAGTTAAAAAGAAATTGTAACTTCTCAATGAGACACAATCACCTTAGCAAAACCCTTCGTACTGAACAGAGGGCTTGCCAGAGGTCTGTAACACAGCTGAGCAGCCTGTGTCCTCCCCTCTGGGACGAGGTTCCCCTGTCGCGTTCGCCTGTTCTTTTACAGCATGATGTACTCCCACACTGGCAGATACATTTATAGTGCTGAGTAGGGGGAGAGGTTCTTTTATAGGTTGGCAATTCCAGATTTTATTATGAAAAGCACTGCATTTTCTTCTTCCTGTTTCCTTACTAAAAGGAGCATCACTCTGTGTGTGTGTGTGTGTGTGTGTGTGTGTGTGTGTACTCGTGTGTGTGCGCTATATTGTTTTTCAGCAAAACACAAGGTCCGTTGCTCTGAGTGGCAACCCCGGTTACGTGGCCGGACTCCCATTGGTCACCGGGCTGCAGCCCCCGAAGGGATATCCTTTCCGTGTGTTCCGCCTAGTGAGGGCTAGAAGGTGGGACAGAGCCAGACCAGAGCTTCCTCCAGGTGACCAGGGGTAGGGGCGGTGGACACTGGTGCTTAGGAGACAGTGCATGGCATGGGAAGAGGCCAGTGTTTAAAAACACATCTGAAGGCAAGAGTCAACGTTCGGATGCATACTATTTCACATTTAAACAGAGCCTCCTAAACAAACTTGGTGATTTTGAAAATTTGGAATTAATTTGGAAAGGCCAGTTTCTGAGCACTTTTCTCCCAAGAATGTACTAATCAAGGCCCATCGTTACAATGAAGCTATATGGTGGTGGTGGTGGTGGTGGTCTTCCACCCCCACCCACAGAAATAACACCATCTCAGAGGCCCAGAGAAGAGGGGGCCTGGTTCTCACTTGTGTCTCAGGTCCTGTAAGTGTCATTGAGTGACACCACATTACCTGGAAATCAGAGCGCTCTGGCACTGGGAAGTCGTTCCTTAACTTTCAGTGAATGTCTGCGATTCTTCAGACCACAAACAGATTCGGACAACTCACTGTTCTCAGTAGCACGGCGGAGCAAGACTGCCTCGCAGCTGAGGGGCTCCGGACCCCAGTGCTGTTCGGTTACAACATGCACACTGGCTGCCGGCTCAGGTGAGAGGGGACTTGCGCCGCAGGACTTGTGTCCATCAGAAAGCACAGCGTCCCTACCCTTGCCCTTTAGAGCCAGACCTCTGCCTTGGCTGCTGGGTGCCTGTGAAGGCCATGTGGTGTTCAGCACTGTTACTGAGCAAGAGAATGGTCGCAGCCCTTTTCTTCCCCAACATGGCAGAGAAAAAATTGCAAAGCTTCGTATGTTCAAGTGTAAGGTTGCGCAGCACTTGGAATCAGAGCGAAAATATCTCCCCTGCAGGTACTTCTATATTTCTGAACTTTAATATACACGGCACCAGAAAAACAGTGAAGGCAGCCTGAATGTGCTGTTTTTATCTTTTTAAATCAAATATGTACATAATATGGATATCAAGGAGCCCTGCACGCTTGTGACACAACCAGCTGCTTTTATTCACGTTTGTCCCATCCTGGAGGCAACCATTTTCAACCACTGAAGCTGGGCTTTGGAAATCTGCCCCCAGATCTTCCATAAGTACCTACACATAAAGTATTTCTTCTTCTTTGGTACTGGTGTTTGAACCCAGGGCCTTCACACTGAGATACATCCCCAGGCTGGCTGGCTGCTGGCTGGCCTTCTTTCTTGTTCTGTCCTTTTTTTTCTCATTCATTCATTCACTCACTTATGGACAGACTCTAAGTCACTGAGTTGCCCAGGTTGAGCCTGAGCGCGCCGTGCTCCTGCCTCAGCGCCACAGGGCTCTGGGCTGACAGATGTGTGCCACCACACCTGCTGGTTTCATGACTGTATTGTTTCCCACTCTGGAAGACAAAGGCTCGGTTCTTCGCCCTTCCTCCTCTTCCTCCACCACCCACATGCTTCATACACCTCCCAGGGTGATTTGGGCTCTGTTTTGTTAGACAGGATTCACCATTTATAGCGTTTGCTCTGGTCTCCTTAGACCAGCATTTCTTAAGAGCGGCTGCCTGGAGCCCAGTCCCACCAGATGTCCACAGGCCTAGGCCGTGCAGCGATGATGGGAAACACAAAATTATAGCTAAAACCAGGATCTCTTCCTCAGGATTTTGCAATCCCTTTACCATGCCAGTGTGCTTCAGGAGGGATGGGGACATGTAAGGCATTGTCCTCCTAACTCTTGGCCAGGGTTCTCTCTGTACAGAAAGAGCTTCCATGGAACACAGTTTGGAAAACAGTTTCAGATTCCCTTATGGCCAGGATTTGGCAGTGTTAAGAAACACTTTAGCTTCTGTCAAATGATCCCCTCTGGCAAGGGAGAAGATAATGAAACTGGAGAGTCGTGTGTTTCCTGGAGGCCTGTAAAAGCCCCAGGTGGGCTGGATGTGGGAGCACCTGCTTGTATTCCCAGCTTCTTGGGAGGCAGAGGCAGGAGGATTGTAAGTTCAAGGCTAGCTGGGCAATCTGCAGGTTTTTTCTAAAAAATAAAAAATAAAGGTTTGCTGATGTAACCCAGCACTCTGAGTTCAGTCCCTACTGTCACACAGAAGTAAAAATAAATTACTGGCACAGTTACTCGGCCCTTTTCCTCCCTAAAGGCTGAGCCCTGCCATCCCGTGCCAGCTGCTGGCACAGAAGGTGAAGGACCTGCTGAAGGGCCAGGGCTTCCCGGATTTCGTGGCCCCGTTCGGCAACTCCAGGGCACAGGATGTGCTGGACTGGGTGCCTGTCCACTTCGTCACCCACTCGCCCCCTGTCAAGGTAAAGGGAGAGGCTGAAGGCCAGGTGCTCGCGGTCTCCTACTGGGCTTGGGTACACCTGTGAGGGAGGTGGTGGCTCTGGGTGGAGCCTGAGCGACCCAGATGGATCCATCAGATTGGCCTGAACCCTGAGTGTTGACTGTCCCTGCTAGCAGGCAGCCTCAGCCTCCTGAGTCGCTTGCAGTACAGGCAGGCGTGACCATGCAGCTTTCTGGGTTTGAGCCTGTTTCCTTGTCTGTGAAATGAAAACGTGTGCTCCGACCTCAGGGGTTGTTTCGTGGGTCTGTGGAGGTAATGTAGCGGTGGGCGGCCTCCCTGGAATGGGGAGCTGCTACCGGTCACCATCCTGCTCTTGGGTGTCCCTCATTCCTAAGCTCTGAAATGCTCCAGAATCTGGAACCTTTTCAGTCCCACAAATAGAAAGTTCCACACCCGGCCTTATGCGACAGTGGCAGTCAAGACAAACAAACAAAAAAAATACTGCCTAAAGTTACCTTTCTGCTGTAAGACATGCAATAGATCTATGCAGTAGACTCTCAGAGACTTAGGCCTCATCCCCAGGCTGTCTCACTTATTATGCATATGCAAATGTCCCCAGATCAGAAAAATCCCAAATATTCCTGGTCCCCAGCATTTCAGAGAAGGGGTGCTTCACCTGCTTGTTATCAGCGCCACACAAGCCGGCTGGGGACAGCACAAGGCCACCCTGAGATGAGTTGGGTGCGTCCCTGTCCGCACTGCTGCCCACCCACACGCTCTGCTCTACCTGGAAGCCCACACACAAGTGCGTTTAATGCCAAAGTGCCCCAGCGGGTTTAATGGAAGTCGACATTCTACACACCGGGGCCTGCTCACGTGTGCCTCCTCGCCCACCTGTTCCTTTGTCTTGGCAAGGTGTGGGCTGTGCTGTCACCACAGGTGCGCTCTCCCTCTCCGTCTTATGCCCTAATTGCTGAGCTTTCTCATCACCATGCTCTGGGTGTATTTGTAGCAGGGCATGGTGAGGTAAGGATGCTCAGAAGCCACCTCCGCTACCTGCAGGGTCGCCAGGGAAGACCTGAGACCAGGTCTGCATCCCTGCTGCTTGGCCCTGGGGCTTGGCTCGGTTCTGCCCCCAGAGAAGCCAACAGTTCGCTCCTGGCTTCTTGGCACTGAGTGAAGTCACCAGTTAGGGCTGCTTATCTGGAAGGGGACAGGCCAGGGGCAGAGGTGGCACTGCTTGTGGCTTTGCTGGCCCAGGAACTATGCAGCCTGGAGCAGGCTTTGCGTGAAGCACGGCCACGCTGGGCCACAGCAGCTGCACAAGGCAGCTCCTGATAACAGGGTGTTTTGCAAGAACGGTGCAGCGTGTAGTTCAAAAGGCTATTCCAAGCTAAGCAATCCATTTATACTTTTGGCAGGCATCAGGCATTAGCAGGCCTCTAGCTTTTCATGCCCTAAGAGTATTTAGAAGGAAATTTTTAGTATGGAAAAATTTCAAGCTCATAGAAAAGTAGTCCCATACAGTGGGAGCCCCATCCAACCACCATGCAGCTTCAAGTTCTCTCATTTGCCAGCCAAAGACAGTGAGGCAGGACAAGGGTCCAGAAGCCGAGTTCCCCACAGGGCTGCGGACTCATCCAGCCTGCGCTGTCAGTGCTAAACATGCAGGCACTGCCGATGCCCAGATGTCACATCTTAGGTGCCAGCTGATGAAACTAGACAAATGGAAAGAATGTTTGGATCTTCTCAGAGCATTTTAATGAGACATGCTGCCAGGTTTAATTTGTTAATGTCCGGCCCCTCTCCTGAGGTAGGTGTGAACAGTAGATGAAGGTGGAGCCCTTAAGGTCCCCACGTGCAGGTGACATTAGCCACTGCAAATCGGAGGGGATGGAAGAAAATCACACTAGGGGGTGCAGTATTTTTGGAGCACTGAGTGCTTTAATAATATGTGCTTTGTCAAAGCTGTTTCGATCTGAACTTCTGGAGTCTATTCATTCTCTTGTTCAGAACATTTTGTAATATGTGGAACATTTTATAATTAAAACTCTGAACTGCAGATTAAGTTTGACTTGAGGTTGTATAATATTCAAGATTGATGCCTGGCATTTTGTTTGGCAGGATTCTTGTCAGCTCCCCGTGGCTTTGGTCCTAGAAGTGAAGTGGACCAAGTATGGATCCCTACTGAACCCCCAAGCCAGGATAGCAAATGTCACGGCGAATCTCATTTCCTCTGCCTTTCCCCAGGTAGGCCTGGCTGGAGCTTAAAGGTATAGGTTCTATAGTGTGTTCAAGGCCCTGGTTCAATCCCTGGTCCCCTGGTGTGTGTGTGGGGAGGCATAGGTTGGGGCTGGAGCTCAGGGAGAGCAAGGACCTGGGTTCCATCTCCAATACTAAAGACAGAAACCCAAATACTATGGGTTAAGACAGAGAAGTCCAGCTGGGTGTGGTGGTGCACACCTGTAATCCTGGCACTTGGGAGGCCGAGGCAGGAGGCTCACTGAAAGCTCCAGGCCAGTCTGGGCTGCATAGCAAGACCCTGTCTAAAAAACGAGAGCCAAAACCAAAACCAAAACCAAAAAGAATGATAAAGAAGTATAAACAAAACTCATGTGTGAGGGGCTGGGGAGATGGCTCAGTAGAATAAGGGCTTGCCTGGCAAGTGCAAGGGTCTGAGTTCAATTCCTGCTTCCAAAAAAAAAAAAAAATATCACATGACAGATGTTTTATTACCTGATAAAAAAGATAAACAATCTGGAATCTTAGAACAATTTTGTGGTCATTCCTGTACTTTGGAAGGAAAAGACCCCACTGGCAAAGGTTTATTGGCATCAGCACTCCTGCTTAGAGTCGACCTCAAGTTACAGCTGAGGCTGGCGGGCTTAGGACACTGGGCAGACCCCTTCCTTCCTCCCTCCACACACCCATCAGGTCCTGGGTTGGCAGCAGCCCGATGCGGGGAGGCAGAGTCCCCATTTGTCCCCCTGCTAACACACTGGGTGTACAGCTCTGACGTTTTACTGCAGACCCTGGCTGGAAGTGAAAGGTCGGTGGTCATCTCCACCACGGTGACTTTTGTGGACGTGTCTGCACCTGCAGAAGCTGGCTTCCGGGCCCGGCCCACCATCAACGCCAGGCTGCCTTTCGACTTCTTCTTCCCATTCGCGTGATGGAAATGGTCACTGTAGGGCCCGCCATGGAGGTCTGCACTGAGGGGCAGTGGGTACTTGGGGTGGCAGGTGGTCTGGACACTGTGACCACTGGGTCACAATCCTTGCATCCAGGTGTCACCCCTGAACCAACATTCTCCTCTTGCCCTGATAGAATTTTTCCCTCTTGGGGACAGCGCTCCACTCTCAGATTTTGAGCTGTCTCGTCCAGTGCTCCGTACGAAGGTCCTAGGTGGAAGCCGAGTTGTTCCAGGAGACCACAGAGAGCCGACTATGCCACCGGGTGCTCAGGGCGGGCCCAGCCACCTTATTCAGCCCCACTTTAATGTGGCTTATTTTAAAAATGTTCATTGTTCAGAGTTCAGGTTTTCTTTCAAGTCCTGTTGAAATAAGTACAGAAATAGCAAAATACTGTACAAAATTGTGTGAGGAGAGCACAAAGCCTCGCGAGGGGCTCCTCCCCCAAAGATCACACTGATTACAGGGCCAGCGTGGGTCTAATTGCCGTTTCCATGCCGAGTGAGCTCCCAGCTCACTGGGAGAGGAGGAGATCGGCTCTTTCATACATTAATTGTATGGTGACTGTGGAAAACATGGCCAGGTGGCGGGTAGTTGGGGCCCCGAGAAGCTGCTGGCAGCTGAAGGAGGTGGGGGGCTCTGGCAGCCCCACCAGCTGCTTTCCTTCCTGTAAAAATGCTCATTCAAAAAAATGCTCATCCATGGCTTCCATGGATGTAAAATTGGAGAACTGTACATTTGATGAGATTAAATTTTATATTTATATACAACCAGTTATTGTCCAGGTTCATTTTCATCAAGAGTAAAGTGTTCCACATCAGAAAAGTTTGGTGCTTTTGTCATGCAGCGCAGAGGAAGGGCTGAGCAGCTCTCCAACAGAGAAAGAGCTGCCCGCGAGGCCGAGTCCAGGGATGACACAGGGCCGGCCGGAGGCAGAGGCCCTGGACCCAACTCAGCCTGCGCCAAGGCCGGGCCTTCTTTGCAGAGCCTCAGACTTCTAGTTCACTTCACCAAGCAGGCCGTGCTGTCGCAGCAGCTTGTTGAGTCTTTCAATCTCTTGTTCCTATTGGAAAGCAAATATCAGCATTGCCTGAACCTCAGCAGGATGTGACAGTCATCCGGGAGCCCCAAGCACAGGGACACAGATGAATGAGAGCTGCTCTCCTATGGACTTCAGGCTGCTGAGGAGATGCTGCCCTCAGACAGGTCCCTGAGCAGGGACAGTCGGGACAAGAGGTACCCAGAGAAAGGGCGTCAGCTTGGGTGGCAGGCATGGATCTAGCAAGTGAGACGGGTGACGTGTGAAGTGTGAAAGGACAAGGGCCACTCAGTCCAGGGAAGGGCAACGGGCTGAGGCACTGCAGGGACATGGGACACCCCATGCTTAGGGGACCATGACCAGGTTGTCCTCGGGTCTTACCTTCTCAGTGCAGCTGAACTCGAGGTGCTGGATCTTGGTGGCCAACTGAATATTGATCTGTTTTAATCTCAGGAATTGCCGTTCGGAACGGGTCTTCACTGAGATGATTATCCCTAGAGGGTAAACGAGGGTGTCAGAAATACGGGCTTCCGTTGTAACCACCCGGGGAAAAGCAAGATATAGTCTATCCTTATATACAAATAGAGGTAGGAGGAGCAGTGACAGACGCGTCATCCTCAAGTGCTGTCACAGGCCACAGGCCAGGCGTGTCCTTTCTGTGCTGCACAGTACCCAGCTACCCAACATCTGCCTTTGGCCCACACAGCCTGCTGGGATGGGGCTGGAGCACAGATGCCCTGCAAGCACCAGGCCATTGGCTGGTTCCCACTTGACACAAGCCTCCCCAGCAGGGACCGGAAGCTCCCTTTTCCCTGGCACAACCCAAAGCAAAGTTCTACTTGGGCTTCGTTGTCATCACTAGGCCGCCAAGGGGAGCAGCTCTGTGCCTCATAGAAGCAGCTGCCCTGCCCCTTCTTAGTGAATCCCTCATCTGGGGAGCCCTGAGCCTGCCGGGGTGCTGCAGAGATCAGTCACCCTGCTAGGCCCGTCCCGCTGTGGCAGACAGTACACAGCCGTGTCACATCTGCATAAGTGCAGAGTCTGAACCAGAGGCCCAGGCCCAGGGTGTACGACAGAAGGTTTCCTCTGAAATACCATCACCCCACACGCCAGAGCCAGAGTCCAGGGCATGTTTATAGGTGTTATTTTCCTCCCAAAAGGACCAAGAAGGTCATTTTAGAAAACTGGCTACCTCTACCGAGCGCCACGACTTTCTCTGAGGGAGCGTGGTGTGTGGCGTCGCTCAGCTTCCTGGGAGCCTCTGGCGGGTGTCCTCCACTTGGGTTTGGTGGAGTCCTCAAAGATGATCACCCAGCATGGCACACACCTCTTTCTTGAGCATTCTCAGAGGCTGAGGCAGGAGGATCACAAGTTTGAGCCCAGCCTGGACAACTTAGTGAGGCCCTGAGGTCTCAGAATAAATGCAGGGATGGGAGCGTAATTCAGTACAGCCCGGATTCAGCCCCTAATACCGGGGGGTGGGGGGGATCCTCTGAGAAAAAACCTCAAGAGACTCCTTACGGAGTAGTCTGGCCTTTCTACATACCTTTTGATAATCATAAAAAAATAAGGCCTGAAGGAGAAAGCTAGTTCTAATGGCACTCGTCCCACCCATCTGGCCCAGAGGCAGCTGTTGGGCACCAAATGGCACCGTCTCCCTTTCCTTTAGACTCCTGTGAGGTGGTGGAGGCTGCGTGTAGCCCCCATGGCGGCATCTGAACAGCTGGCCCCAGCACCATGCCCGGCTGCCTGCTCTCCTGTGCCCTCTGCTGCCCAGCAGACTCATGTACCATTGATGATCCGGGCCACGCGCCACAGCCGGAGCAGGATCAACAGCCCAAGAGCCTCAAACTCGTGCTCCCAGAACAGGAGGACGACGTCAAGGACGAACGAGACCACCACGACCACTGTGTCCAGGATCTCAAACTTGTGGTGAAAGAACTCCAGGCGGAAGACAAATATCTTAAAGAAAATCTCTATCATGAAGAAGGCCAGGATGGCAATGCTCATGCAGTGGAACACCTGAAGGAGACAAGGAACCAAAGTCAGATGGGGCCTCGGGACACTGGCGGGGTGGGACAGAGCTGGGCCTCAGGGACCCCTCCCCACATGCCAGCGAGAGATACCGAGCCACCAGAGCCAGACCACCCTCCACGCTGGAAACCCAGCATTGAGCACCACAAGCCAGGTTTCTGCCCTCTGAAGCACAATTGGTGCGCACAGCTATGTTGTAGGACACTTGCTGCAGCACCAGTACGGGGTACAGCCAATGTGGCCCCCAAAAGTCTCATGTGTGGGGGTGGTGGTCAGGTCATCAGCGGATCCTCCAGGAAGGAGCTCAGGAACTGAATGGGCCTGCTTGGAGGTGGTCACTGGGGTTGTGACCTACAAGGGTGCGTTCTTGTGCCCAGCCCCCGCCCCCGTCCCTGGTTCTCTCTGCTTTCCTGGCTGCCAATGGGACGGGCACCTCCCAGCCCTTCTACCTGCTGGTTCTGCTTTGGAGCATGGACTCAATCTCTCTAAAACCGTGAGCCAAAATAAACACATCCTCCTCTGGGTCATGGATGCTGGGTATTTCATCCCAGCAATAGGCAGGCTGACAAATATAGGCACTCTTTACAAAATACAGATTTTTTGCACTGTTGGTGGGCAATGTCACTGTTCACGAGAAGGAACCTGTCACGTGAATGATAGTACCCGTGTACACACACTACCCAAGTAGGGGGCTATGAATGGTCACCACAGTGGATGCTAAATGAAGAGGGCCCCAGAGCCAGGTGTGTAAACCACAGTCCTCACTATGGAAGCCGTTTCCAAGGTGAGGCAGGAAATGGATGTAGTGAGCTGGGCTGCTGGTGCCAGAAAGCAGGGAACTACCTAAAGGCTGCAGTCAAAAGGACAGATTGAAAAGGCTTGGTGACCAGTGTGGACAATTTAAACATCAAAAGGAATGACTGGGCTGTGGAGATAGTGGTCCAAGCACCTGCCTAGGCAAGTGCAAGGGCCCGGCTCAACCCCCTACTGCATGCTGTGCCAGCCACCAAGACGGGCTGTGGTGTGGTGCATGCCTGCAATCTCAGCACTGGGGAGGCTGAAATGGGAGGATCACTACAAGTCCAAGCTGTGTAGTGAGACTCTGAACCCAATACATAAAAATTAAAAAAGGGGGGGCAGACAGATAGCTCAGTAGAATAAGCGCTTGCCTGGCAAGCACAAGGGCCTGAGTTCAATCCCCGGTGCTGCCAAAAAAATAAATAAAAATAAAAATAAAGAATTACTGTTACACACAAGGAACACAATACTCATGAGCTCATGGTGAGGCAGGCACACACTGGGCTCTTCCTTGTGGGGGAACAGCAGCTACTAAAGGTGGAGGGAAAGACAATCGGAAAATCATTCTGTGTCCCCAGTGAATTCACTGACTCAGGCAGGGACAGTCCCAGATGCCTATGCATGGAATGAAGTGTCACCGGGAAGGCTACTTATACTGCAGAGGGACAGGAGCCCTGACAATGGGGCACACCGGCATTTGCCACCTATATCAGACAATCTGTCATGAAGTCCCCCCGAGGGTGCATCTGAGCCTCCCAAAGGGATCACAGGTGTGCACCACGGCGCCTGTCTAGAGGGTGCATCTGAAGAACAGAGCGGTCCTTGCTGATGGAGCCTCTGACCTCACTTCCAGTGTGCACTTCCGGGAGAAGGCTGCAAATGAGAGGGCCTTTTGTCTGGATTTGCGCAGGGTGATGGAGAATGCGAGGCATCCTACAGAGTGGCTGGTAGGACTATTTACAAAGTCAGTGTCATGAGGAGGGAAAGAGGGTAGAGATAAACAGAAGCATCTCGGAAGACATTCCTGGGGCAAGAGAGGGGCTTCGAGTCCATGCGGTATAGACTGTGGCCCTGCCGTCGTCGGTTTAGGTCTGACAGCAGCAGGCTGGTTCTGAGGAGAGGCCTATTCTTAGACATGCTGATGTGTTTGGGGATGAAGTCACCATGTTGGCGACAGAAACGCATGGATCTGTCTCTGGGGATGTACAGCAATAAAGCTGATGTGGCAAAAGATATATTGGCCATTTTTCATGATGCAGACTTGGGAACAGAAGGCAGCAGCACAAATTCTATTAAGGGACACGGTGTGTGTGGGGGGAAGACTACTCGTCCTCCCCCAGACTTGGGCTGCCGGGGCCGGTGAGTGGGAGGTTTGATGCTTCCTTTTGCCCTTTTTTCTTGGAAACAGGCGTGTGCACATAATTCCTTTTCCTCCCTAAAAGCACACGGGAAGATGTTCCTAAGGTCCACCCTGCTCCTGCATCCACGCCCCCTTGGGCATCACTGGAGCCTGGCATGGTCAGTAACTGATGCAGTGGTGTCACCATGGCTCTAGGGAAGGGACCGTACAGGTCTCAGGAGACAGGAAACAAAGAACACCAAACACCCCAGCGCCTCCCAGCTCCATACTGCCTTGAAGGGCAGAGGAGCTGCAGTGACGGTGTCGGTACCTGGGCCACATATTTGTTCTTGTCGGGCTCGGTGGTCTGCAGGTCCAGAATGAGCTCAGCCAGCACCAGCAGGGCATCCAGAACCACCAGGCAGATGATGATGACCTGGGTCACAGGGAGCAGCGGAAACCATGAGACCCACCGGGGCCTGGTACTCTCAGGTGCAGCGCCGGGGTGTGGAGCAAGCACAGGACGCGCCTATCACCCAGAGCCTGTCTTTGGCTCCTTTTCAGTCCCCCTGACCTTTCCCCACACTTGGTCTTTGCCTTTTTCATTCACTGTTGCTTAATAAAAGTATCTCAAACCGAATGCCCCTCCCTGGGTGGAAAAAATAAATGCTAATGTTAAGAAAGTTCGTATTTTTCGACATCTGGGGATTGCTGGAGCCTAGGCATGCTCAGAACAGATGCTTGGTCACTCGATACTGCCCTTCCCTGGGGCTCCCAGTGCTGGCAGGGACCTCCACCTACTCTTTGGGTGATTGGGTGGCAGTAATGTCACTGTACCCAGCAGGCAGCATCACCCTGAATGTGAAGTTCCTGCCCCTGCTCTGCTCACTGGTGAGGGGAGAAGGCAGCCTGGGAAGAGTCAAGTGGGGCAGAACCTCAGGGGCTTTGGCATGGTTGGAGCATGAGAGAGCATGTCCCCTGGACCCGTGGACCCGTGGACACACTGTAGCAGCAGGGAGGTTCCAGTGACTGCGGTGGTATGACACTGCTAAAGGCTTTGATGGCAGATTGGAGGCAACAGCCTTAGGCAGTGGAAATGGCAGTGGAGGGAGAGAGGAGTCCCAGAGGCCATACATGAACCCCTCTACCTCCAGGGTTCTGGACAGCTGCTTAGGGCCAGGCCTTCCCTCTCAGAGCAGTGGGAGTTTCCATTTGGGGGAGGCTTGATAGAGACTGAACCCAGGGGGCCCACATTGAGCTACAGTTTTTTTGTTTTGTTTTGTTTTGCTTAATCCCAAAAGTCCCCAGGCTAGGCTAGAATTTGTGATCCTCCTACTGCAGCCTCCCAGAGTGCTGGGATTTTAGGCTTGCACAACCATGCCTGGCTAGATTGTGGATTTTGGTCTTTGAAAATGTATCTGCTGTTAGACAAGGAGTTCCAGGTTGAAATTATTATTATCATTTTTTAAAAAAATGTATTTAGTTCAGGGTCTATAGGGTCTCACTCTGTAGGTTGGACTCATAGTGATTCTCCTGTTTTCAGCCTCCCAAATGCTGGGATTATAGGTGTGAGCCACCATGCCCAGTCTCAGTTGCTGGCTCAGTGCGCCCTGGGGGCAGGGCCAGCACGCACTCGGGCACTCGGGCACGCAGGCACGCAGGCACGCAGTCACGCACGCACGCACGCACGCACGCACGCACACATGGTGTGAAACCCAGTCCCTGTGCCTGGCTAAGCAGGCACGTTAGTCTGTTGAGTTATCCGGCCGGCCCTCAGGTTGAAATTAAGCAAGCTGAGCCTGCCGGAAGAATGGACTGCTAAGCTTTGGGAAACTGTGGTTCATTATTTCAGTGCCGTGTTTGATAACGTGGTTTGGAGACCTAGCGAATTACTCTGGAACGCAGTCTCCACACATCTAAATGCAGTGCTTAATACAGATTCAAGGGGCCGGGGAGATGGCTCAGTGGAGTAAGTGCTTCCCTGGCAAGCACAAGGGCACGAGTTCAAGCCCCAGTTCTGCGCGCCCCACCCCCCCCAAAAAAAAGTTGAAGCCTCTAGGGGTGGTGGTTTTGGTTTTTTAAAAAAATTCTTGGCTTTATTTTAGAGCCCAAGGGATCTGAAGCTTTTAAGAAGGCACCCATTTTCTGGCATAATGAAGCGTGATGCCCCAACATGTCTGCTAGGAGGCAGGTGACACTGGTAGGGGCCCTGCAGACATCATGGGGAGCAAAAGCACGCAGAGGTAAGACACACATGTCCAGAACAGCAGCACCTAGGAGGACACACAGTGCAGCCAGGGGGTTCCCAGGGTTGCAGGAGGATGGGGGACCAGCACCTGTTTTGAGAATGTTCTGGAACTAGATCATGGGGAACACCCAAAATACACAGAAGTATTCACTTCCCAAGGGTCAGTGTTCTGTGAATCACACCTGAACTAATACAAACAAAAGACTCGAGCCCACTAAACTGTAATGCCCAGTCCCCAGGGCCGAATCTGCCACACACTGGCAGCCCTGTGATTGGGGGGAGTCATGGAACCAGGTCACAGAGAACAGAAAAGAGCAAGGAACTGGGGGGTAGTAACCCTGACCCTTCCCTGTAGAGCACCATCCGGGTCCCGTCAGCCCATGCCCAGCACCTTCCAGGGCTACGAGCGTCCCTTAAGCAGTGGCTGCAGCACAGGGCCTGGCGAGCAGAGTATGGGGTGCAGCAAAGCCCCTGGCCCCTCCTCCTGTCCCTCATGGCTTCCCACGCAGCTGTGCCATCCAGTGTGAGCAGTGGCAGCCATAACTCTGTATCATGTCACTCTGGCCACTTCAAACCGCCCAAGGATGGGACTTCATAATGTTTTGGGGGTTTCTAGTGGTACTAGGGATTAACCTAGGATCGTTATACCCAGCTATATCCCCTGCCTTTTTACAATTTTTTTTTTTTTTTTTTAAATTAGAGACAGATCCTTGGTAAGTCCCTAAATTGCCCAACTGGGCTTGAGGTTGCAATTTCTCCCATCAGAGAGCAAATCTTCTACCTCCCAGTCCCTACTGCAATCCTTTCCTTGCTTTCACCCTGGCCCTGGCCAATCTGACTAGGCCCCCAGGGCAGCCCCAGGGCCTGTCGATTGTTTACTGCTCTTCTCTGCTCACTGCAGAGCCAGGCGCCTTCTGCCCTTCTCTGGGCCCCTAGCAGAGCAGCTGCTTCCCAGCCAGGCCCTGGAAACCCAGCCCCTCTGTCTGAAAAATGCCCCTGCATCCACAGCCCAGGCCAGGCACTGCTGGGTGTGGGCCTGGCTGAGCTTGGGCCAGGCCCTGGGTTCCATCCCAGCACCACCAGAAAACCACACCAAAAGAAAACCAAAAACTCTGGAGATCACAGGTGTTAAGAGCCACCCACAGGATGCACTCTTACTTAGCCTGTGTGTGTCAGGTGACAGAACGCCTCCTCCAACGCCCCGTGTGCAGCAGGTCTCTGACCCGAGCTCACAGAGCCCATGTCCCTGCAGAGGACTTCTGTTGGTAACCAGTGTCCATCTAGGGGACAACCCTGGAGTTCCTGCTTCTCTGTGGACTCATATCCTCTCAGTGAGGGCAGGGACAGGTTTCCTGTACGTGGTAAGTGCGATTGTCCCATGAGAGAATGAATTATTTCTGTCGTGACAGTCTTTTCCCCAGTGGGAATGTCTCTGGGGGCCGCGGCTCAGGGTGCTGCCCCCACCCCCCAGCAGGCCGAGTGGCCACTCAGGGGGTACAGGGCATCTGGAGGGGGTGGCGTGAGGCTTCCCTTGCAGCTGGAAGGAAGCTGCCTCCTTCCTTCTGCTCCTGAAATTGAGGGTTTGGGATTTCAACCCCAACAAGTTAATACCACGTTTCCTTTCCTGTCACAGCGCGGGGAGGGATGGGCGGAGCCGAGGAGCTGAGTGTTGGCTTCCTTTCTTTAAACCACAAGAGAACAAGAAGAAAAGCAACCAAAATAATTTGTCTATTTTACTTCAGAACAAAGTTGAAGATAGGAGGGATGGGTCTGCCTCCCTCCTTTCTCTTCCCAAGGGACTTGAGCCTTGGGACCCGGAGGCCCACAGCTCGGTCCCCAGACTGCCTCCCATGCTCCAGGTACCTGTCTGCCCAGGGTGTGTGGGTGTGTATATATACACCTTTGTCCTCCATAATCAGAATGTGCTTCACAGTGTCAGGACGAACACTGGCCTTGCCAAACTCAGTTCTCTCTGTGCTCCCCCTACTCCTCAAAGAGGACCCCGAAGCCCCAAGGTCATGAGATTGCATCAGGCAGGGGACCCTGGGCCTTGCTTGCAGCAGGGACTAAGAGTATGTGGAGTGGACAAAATGCATTTCTCTGCCTCCAGCAGTTACTCTTTCATTTACGCAGGGGCAGGGGGGCTGTAAATTTAGATAACATAAAAATGATCAGAGTGACCATCTTTCTTCCCTGGTCACTGTTTTTTTTTTTTTTTTTTTTGTACCAGGGATCAAACTCAGGACCTTGCGCTTGCCAGGCAGGAGCTTAAGCCGCTGAGCTATCTCCCCAGCCTCTGGTCACCATTTTTAAGTCAGTGGCTTTAAGTATGTTCACAGGGTCACATCACCATCACCACCATCCAGAACATTCATCACTCAGGGTGGGGACCCCGTGTCTGTGTCCGTCAAGTGCAACACATCACCCGCAGCCCCACCACCAGTCCAATTTCCATCTCTCTGGTTTTGTCTGTTCTGGACAGTTCATGGCAATGTCACTGAGCATTAACTGTGATGGTCCATCCATCAAGCCTGTGGCTTTGCTTTGTCCCTTTTCAGGCCTGAGTCCCCATCCCATGGGGGACAGACCCCCCCACATTGTCCCTCTCTGTCCACAGAGGGCTCTAACTCACTCTCTGCTGCTGCTCACAACCTGGGCCCCTGGCCCCTGGCAGTGCCTCTAACCATCTATGGAGTGGACAGAGATGGGTGCCACCGTGCTGCCTGCTGACTTTTGCCAAGCAGGCCCAGGCTTCTCTCTTACCTGGAAGCGGTGGGAGTGGAAGAGCTTCCTCAGCTTGGCCTTGAAGTCCGGGGGAGGCCTAGGCGCAGGGACGGAGGCAGCCTCGGCATCCCTGCCCTCCTCGCCTGGGGCTGGCGCGGGCCGGGGCTGTTCCTCCTCCTCCCCTTCCTCCTCGTCGTCCTCCTCGTTCTCCCACTTCTTGTAGTTGATGTTCCAGGAGTGGTAGTCATCCCCGGCCACGGTGAAATGCCGCAGGAACTGGCTCATCCTCTCTGCCCGGGCCACCTTGGACCTGCGGGTAACAGTCTGCGAGGGGGACAGGAAGGGAGTGTGAGAGGCCAGGTAGCCTGGGCCCACCACCACCACCACTATGACTATGGCGAGGACTAGGCCCAGGCCGGGCCCTGGGGCCCTCGGAGCAGCCTGGGCACAGAGGCCGGGAGGTCACGGTGGTTTCTAGCGTGCTTATTTTTAGATTCCAGGGTCGCAGAACTGGTGAGGAACAGGAAACCCCAGGCCCCGCCAGCTCTGTCCCTGCAGTCTGGCTGGCTGTAACCAATGAAGTCAGAACCGCAGCCCAGTTGCAGAAGACCCACTGCAGGCTGAGAGCAACTGTGGGAAGTACCCCCATGCTCCACATCAGAGCCTGAGGGCTGGCAGTGCCACTGAGGAGCAGCAGGAGGAAGGGCCACAAGTAAAAGTGCCCCACGGTCACAGGAAAGTCACAGGGCCCTCCCACTTCATGCCACCGTTGGGTCTTGGACAGGTGAGTGGCAAATAGAGCTTTTCCTAAATTTAGCAAGCTGTGTGTGTGTGTGTGTGTGTGTGTGTGTTACAGAGAGCTGAACTAAGGGCCTCTGCACTGAGCTACACCTCCCCTCCTTTCCCTTTTTTTGTTTTTGAGACCAAGTCTAAGTCTCTTGTTGCCCAGGCTGATCTTGAAGTTGCGATTCTCCCACCTCGACCTCCCAGGCTGCTGGGATTGCAGGCAGGAACGACCACAGCTGACGCAGCCAGTGCTATTTTATCTCCACAGCTGTTTAACGAGAGAGAACTTCAAAGCAAAAGCAAATGATTTTGTCTTCACCTGTGCTCACTTTACCAGATACCAAATTTTTGTTAAGTACTCGAACATGGATCCCAGCTCAGGTGAGGTGACCAGTGGAACAGGAAAAGGAAATTCAAACAGATCTGTATCCTGGTGGGAGCCCAAGGCGAGGCAGTGGCAGTCCCCATCAGTGGGAACAGGCTGGAGAAGTTAGGACATCTGCCTTTTCCAATACAAGAAAAATAAACCTAGTCCCTACCTCATACCACACACAATATATATTTCAGATACTGTGACAATGATATATTTATGTCTAAAAAAATATTGCAAGTCTTCGAGCAAATACAAGCGGGTATCTTTATGACTTCAGCACATGGAAAGATTACTTAAAACTAGAAAATCTGAAGTAGATTTGACTGCATCCAAACTAAAAGCTTTTATGTAACATGCACCCATGGGCGCATATGCCCCACCCTCCTCCAAGGTCAAAGACACCCCATGGACTGAGAATATCCAGAGTGTACTTTTTATTTATTTTTTTAAAAATGTATTTAGTACAGGGTCCACAGGGTCTCACTATACAGATCGGACTTGTAGTGATTCTCTTGTTTTCAGCCTCCCAAGTGCTGGGATTACAGGTGTGCCACCACACCCAGTCTCAATCGCCATCTCAGCATGCCCTAGGGGAGGGGCTGGAGTGGCAAGCTGGGGATCTAACCCCGGTTCCTGCATCTACCTAAGCAGGCTCTTTAATCCGCTGAGTTATCTGGTCAGCCTGATCTGCAGTGTATTTCATATAGCAAGATTTACTAAGAAAACTTGTAAGTATAAAGAAAATCTTTGGGGCCGGGGAGATGGCTCAGTGGAATAAGTGCTTCCCTGGCAAGTGCAAGGGCTTGAGTGTAGTCCCCTGTTCCACAAAAAAAAAAAAAAATCTCTGCAGAAAGCTGGGCAATGGCCAGGTCAAAGAAAACCTAAAGGGCTAAGTGCTCAACCTCACTAGTACTTGGGAAGATGCAGGCTGAAGTCACAGTCACAGTCATGCCCAAGGCTGGGAGGAACCCTGAGGCCTACACTAGTTGATGTTGGTGATGGTGTTAAATGCCATCTCATAAAGCCTGAAGTCAAAGACACCACCAGCAGTGTTTGCAGAAGCAGCCTAGTATTATCTTGTCAAGCTGAAGTTGTGCGTCTTTTTCTTAATGATTTCCTGATTCGCTCCCTAGACACAATCCAAAACAGACTCATCTACATGTGTTCCAACTGATGACAGGTTCTAGAATATTTGCTGCAAATATGCATTAACCAAAACAGAAGGATGAATCTTCTCTATGCGTGTGGTGGAATACTAGATAGCAGTGACAAAGAATGAGCTACTTTGCTCTGTAGCATATGTGCCCACTCTGAATCAAAATCACTCCTTTTTTAAAGGCTTCCTTCACTGGTTTTCCTCCTTCCAATGCTTCCTTCACTCTCCTGGTTTTTCTCCTTCCCCAGTGGTTGCTTCCTGCCAGTCTCTTGTGGATCCCTTAAGAGAAGACCTTGCTTACATTTAAGTGTTGGAATTCCCAGGGCTTCGGCTCTGACCACCTCTCTTCTCTAGCCTAAGACCCTATAGGATTTTGCTGGGCATCCTGACTTTTAAACACCATGTCTACATCGATGACACAAACTCCAGCCCCATCTTGCCTGCATGCCAGCCTCAACAGCTAACATTCAAACCACGTCCATGTCAGCTTAAGGCATTTCGTTGGTTCCCTGCCACAGGCCAAGGGCGTGGGCACCAGTCTCGGTTACTACCTTGGCCCACACTGCCCAACTGTGATTCTGCTGGCTCTGCCTTTACACCCTTAACAGGGTCACTCGTGTCTCCAGACCAGGCCGATCTTTCTTCCCTTGCTTGGGTTTCTGCGGTGGCCCCTGCTGCCTCCCCATACTCCTTCCCCAAGCATAACTAGTAGAGAAGTTTCAAAAACATGCACAAGAGCATGCCATGCCCTTCTCTATACTCGGTCTCTCTCCCCAGAATTCTGTCCCACCCAGGATGCCCGCCTGCCCCTCAGCTTGCTCATGGCAGATCTGCTCAACTTGTCCTCTTCTAAAAGACTATGCACAGCCACCCCATCGCCCTTCTTGCTGCATTTTCTTACTGTGCTTTTGCTAGCAGACATTACCCGTGTGCTCACTGTCTGCCTCCTCCCACAGAGCAGGCTGCGTGTGTCTTGGGCGACGGCACACCTCTAGGACAGCCCCATGCCCTCTGCAGGCACTCCGAAACACTCAACTATGCAGGTCGCCAAATTAATATAACAACATGTACAAATCTGAACAAGGGTGTTCAGTGTAGCGGGGTGCGGTGGAACACACCTGGAACCCCAGGACACTTGAGAGGCTGAGGCACGAGGATCACAATTTGGGAGCCTAGCCTAGGCAACCTAGCAAGGCTCTATCCCAAAATAGAAAGGGCCAGGTATGATGGTGGCTGAATCCCAGGGAGGCTGAGGCAGGAAGGGTGACACAAGCTTGAGGCCAGCCAGGACTACCTAGTGTTCAAGGCCAGCCTGGACTACATAGGTGAGACCCTGGCTCCCCAAAACTTTTTTTAAAAAAGGAAAAGGCCAGGGCTGGGGATATAGCTCAGTGGCATAAGTGCCTGTCTGGCAACTACAGGTCCAATCCCCAGTCCTGCCAAAAAAAGAAGAAAAAAAAAAAAAAAAAAAAACTGGGGCTGTACTTCAGTGCAAAAGACCCTGGCTTCAATCTCCAGTACTTGGGTGGGGGTTGGGGGGAGTAGGTTAAGTAAAAAAGGTAGATATAGAAGAATATTATAAACCATGTAAGTAACATTTTAAATACGTGGAAATTATTATTTATTGTTTTTAGAATATATAAAAATGTAGTATGCATATATAAAAAAACAAGATTTCTGCTTCTGGCCATGATAAAGTAACTCCTACTAGATTACCCCTCCTGCTATAAACAACTATAAAATTGGAGAAAACAGGACATTTACTACGATTCTAGGGAGAAGAGAAACCACTGGGGTAGAGCCCCATGGCCCCCTTGGCTCTCCTTGGAGAAATTTTCTGGGCTGAAGAGGGAGACAGGGCTGAGGCTCCACCCTTGGGAGCGTGCACAGCCGGGTACCACAGCAGAGGCTGGAGCAGATGAGTTTCCAACAGCCAGAGCACAGGTTCAGTGAACACCACAGCACTCAGTAGAAACTCCTGAGAGCACACCTTAGAGGGAGACCTTCAGCGTGCCTAAACCGAACATGGTGGCACACACTACACTGCCGCGCTCTGGGAGGCTGAGGCAAGAGATCCCAGGAGATAGATCTGATCTAGCCCCACAGCAAGGGCTAGCTTAAATTCATCCCAGCAAGGCTTTAAAAACAGGGCCGGGGAGATGGCTCAGCAGAATAAGTGCTTACCTGGCAAGCGCAAGGGCCTGCGTTCAATCCCTGGTTCCGCAAAAAACAAAACAAAACAAAAACCCTATACAGAAATACAGATATGAGAGGAAAGTCTAATGTCCCAGGGAAGCAGGGAGCACTACACAGAGCCGAGGAGAGCTGTCGTCTCTCCTATAATTTCTGGCAAGCTGGGATTCCAGGCTGCAGAGAGCAGCTTCTCCCAAGGGCGCCCTGTCTGTTCTCTATGCTAAGATGTTAATAGCTAGCATTGTGTAAATTCAGAGTTAGGTAAATGCCCACAGTCAATAGAGAGAGTGGTTTGTGTTTGCAAAAGTAGTCACGCACAGTCCTTGGCCTGCCTTTAGCCCTCAGTAACTGTGACAGGCTTCTGTGGTTCTCGGCTCACAGACTAATCTCAGTGAGACCTTTGGAGCTACATTCATTGGTCTTCTCTTCATTTCTTTTGGTGCCGACTCATAACATACAACACCGAGCCGGGGAGATAGCTCAGTAGAATAAGCGTTTGCCTGGCAAGCGCAAGCACCTGAGTTCAATCCCCGGTTCCGCCAAAAAAAAAAAAAAAAAAAAAAAATACAACACCCCTGAAATGATCAAGCTGATCCCCAAGTAAAATTAACTGTCTGTTGGAAGAAAACTTAAAAACCCTTATGGGAGATAATAGATTCCACAACATGGACTTCATATTGCCCAGGATGCAGTAAAAATTATTAGACAGATACAGATTCAAAAAAATGCCATCCATAATCAGCAGAAAAACCAACTAGCAAATGACACAAATGGACCAGGATAATGAAACTGGCCAAAAAGGACCTGAAGATAGCT